TTTTTTTTTTTTTTTTTTCCTTTTTGACAGTGACAAACTGAGGTAACGTCTGTGACACTACAGCCTCTCCTACGGGAAGAAGATCCGGCGCCCGGCGGCCGGGGGAACCCGAAATAAAAACCCGAAACCGAGCGGCAGCGCGGCCATCGGCGCCGGGGCTCCTTATCTACATTATTGCACGAAAGATCGGGACGTGGAGGGACCTAAGGCAAAAAGGAGGACGAACCGCACCTAACATCTCTACATCTGTGCAGTGCTACTTCTACCACCAGACCTGGGCCCTGCGGGCGGGGGGACACGGGGACGCAGGGATATGGGGACACGGGGACACGGGGACATGGGGGCATGGGGATATGGGGACACGGGGGCATGGGGACGTGGGGATGGGGCAGCGGCGCCGGTGGTGGGGGCGCAGGGGCGGTGGGACCCCACCTGCCTGGCGACTGCTGTGTAAACTGCTGCTGCTTCGGGAGCGTGATGATAGCCCTTTGTGCGGTAGTTGGGGGCCGGAGGGGACAGCGGCGTGGGGGTCCTCAGGGTGACCCCGTGGCTCCCGGCTGGCTGTCCCCCCCTGTCAGAGAGCATCGCTGCGGCCATCGCTCCGGGCAGGGAGGATGGGGCGGCACGCAGTGACACTTGCTACATCGTGGCAGGGAGCGGCCGGGGGGGTCCCCTCCATCCCGGTCCCCTCGTCCCCTCCCGGTGCCCGGTGTGGGGCGGGGGCCACCCCGAAGGCCTCCTCCAAGCGTGGGCTCATCGGCCTTCCCAGGGTCCCCGCACAGCCCGCTCGCATTGTCAAGGAGGACCTCCCCCCACAGCACCGTGGGGGGGTCCCAGAGGGGCAGCGAGGCCACCGGGATGGGGACAGCAGCACCGGTGCCCCCCAGCTCCTGCCCGCTGGGCAGATGGCGGCACCGGCATCTTCAGTGCTACTGAGCGCAACCAGTTCTGTCCTCTTCTTGTTTCTGTGTACGGAGGCGCAGCCCCCGGCCCTGCAGCCACCCGCAGCCAAGGGACGGGACGGCGCCACCGGGAGCGGGGCCACGCACCGCCCCGCGCCCTCAGACACAGATCTCTATCGCTGTGGCCAGCACCATCTGCCCTTTGCCCTTGTCCTGCCGTCCGTCTGTCCTGCCGGCCGGGCCGGACGAGGCCGCGCTGGGCTCAGGGCCGTTGAGCCGCGTGCCGGGGCCGTCGGTCAGGATGGTCCTCTTGAGCGGGGCGGGCGTGCAGGAGGCGCCAGGCTCGTGGCGGTGCGGCCCGGCGGGCAGCTTGTCCCCGGCGTGTTTGCGGGAGCGGTAGGAGGGCCGGCGGCGCACCTCAGCCATCAGGTCGTACTTGATGAAGTAGAAGACCTCCTTGACGGGGCAGCGCTTCTCGGGGTCGAGGGCCAGCAGGCGTTGGAACATGCGCAGCGCGCTGTCCGTGAAGCGCCGCCACTGCGAGGGCAGCCCCGCCAGGCGGCCCTTCTGCCACCGCACGAACTCCTCAAAGAAGGTGTCGGAGGCGGCCGCCGCCTCCCAGGGGAAGTTCCCGGTGAGGACGCAGAAGATGAGCACCCCGAAGGCCCAGACGTCGATGCTGGTGTCCACGGCGAAGCCCTCGGCGCGGCCGGCCTGGCACACCTCGGGCGCCGTGTAGGGGATGGTGCCGCTGATGCGCTTCACCCGACAGCCCACCTTGCGGGTCATGCCGAAGTCGGCCAGTTTGACGCGGCGGCAGTCGCGGTCGAAGAGCAGCACGTTCTCTGGTTTGATGTCCCGGTGCACCAGGCTCTTGCTGTGCATGTAGTCCAGCGCCAGGCCCAGCTGCTGCACGCAACGCTTCACCATGTCCTCGGGGAGCCCCACCTGCGGCCGTGGGACACCGTCACTCCGTGCCGCCCCGCGACAGCCCACCCGTCTGCCCCCCGTCTCTCTTTGCACCTTTCCCGCTCACTGCCCTGCCTCCTCCTTCCTGAACCTTTTAGTGTGGGGGAGAAGAGACACGCTGCAGCAGGACTAAGCCACCAGGGCCAGCTGATGGCTGCCGTGCCTTCTCAAGGACATGTGATGTGTCCCAGGCCACCACTTACGGGACCCAGATCATTTACAAGATGTGCGACACATCTCAGACCACCTGTGGGTGGTTATGGGTTCCAGGCTACAAGTTCTATGTCTTGGACAGCACTATGGTTGTTTGATGGGTCTCAAGCCATCGCTTACGGGTCCCAGAACGCTCAGAGGACAGGTTGCATGTCATCTGGGGGATGGCCAAGCCATCAGTTATGGGTCTCAGAACACCCAAGGGATGAGTGCTGGGTCTCATGCCACCAATGGGAAAGGTTGTGGGCCCCAGGCCACCTACAGGATGAGCAGTGGGTCCCAAGCCTGCTTTTAGATGCTGCACTACCTAGGTGTTGGCATTCTGCCCATGGACAGATGTGCGATCTCCTCATGTGCGGCTGTGCAAACACCAGGGCCCCTTCTTATGCCACCAGCAATGTGCAAGCCTTGGCACAGTGACCTTATCCAGGGACACCAAACCCTCACGTCCCCAGCCCAGCACCCAGAAAAGCTCTCACCTGCGGGGGGATGATGTCAAAGAGGTCCCCTCCTGGGGCGTACTCCTGAGCGAAGACGTAGCAGTCCTCTGTCTCGAAGACCACGTCGAAGACTTTGATGATGAAGGGGCTGGAGGAGAGCGTGTTGGTGATGCTGAACTCCCGCAGGAAGTTCTTCAGCTTCGTTTTGTTCTTGTTGACGAACTTCAGGGCCATCTTGGTGCCTGCAGCGGGCAGAGGGCCGGCTGAGCCCGTGGCACGGCCGATGGCGATGCCCCCCCGGGAGCCGCGCCTGCCCCCCGCTCCCCTCACCTGTGCTTTTGTGGGACACCAGGTCCACCTTGCCGTAGGTGCCCTTGCCGAGCTCGCGGATGAGGTCGTAGTGTTTGTTGATGTCGGTGCCCGAGAGGGTGCGGATGGCCAAGGACTGCATGTCTTCGGTGATGAGCGGCACCCCGCAGCACGCCAGCTTGCGCGACGGCTCCTGCTCTATCGATCCGGCGCTCATGGCTGCGCTGCAAGGCAGAGGTGCGTCACGGCTTCCACCCCTGGGGCCTGGCCCTGCCCTGTCCCACAGCCCGTTCTGCCCGCACAGAGCGTCCCTGCAGAGCCCAGCACTCCTGGGACCTGCGATGCCACGGCGCCGCAGCTCATTGCTCCCACACATCTGCTGGTATCGACTTCTGCCTTCCCATCCGTCAGCACCGGCTTTTGGCCACCTAAGACTCCCCCCACGCAGAGCCCCAGAGCAGCCGGCACTCCCAGCTCTCGGTGCCACCCTTTCCTCTCCCTCAATCCTGGGCTCCGACCCGCTGCTCCGGGACCCCACTGAACACAGCTGAGCTCCCGCTCCACGCTGCTCTGCAGCCAAACCACCCTCCGAGCCCCAAAAGCACAAATCCAGAGCCCCATTCTGACCAACACCACGGGAACGCAGCCAAACCACCCCGCTGCCGGCTCGCCCCGCGCCCGCGAGCATCAGGCATCACAGGGGTGGCTGCAGGAAGGGGATGGAGCGTTTTGTTTCATAGCAGATTGACAAAAATCATGGGACAGCAGCTGGGCGGGCGCTGGTATATATTTAGATTTTTAATGTGGAAAAATAAACCACAACAAACAACTCAAAATATATCCCAGAGAACCCGGGCCAAGCCTCGTCCTCAGGTCCCAGGAGCGGGGCTGAGCCCCACACGTGGCCCCACGGGGCTGCATGGGGAGAACAGAGCCAACAAAGAGGAGCTGGATGGAGGGCATGGAGGGGCAATCCCAGAGGAGAGCAGAGCAGAGACCTTCACGCACACAAACGCCTCCTGCGCAGGCACTGCCCCAGCCCCGACGCGCAGTGACCGGCTCACCCATCCAAGCTGAGCCCCTTCCCCACCCTTGTTTCTTTCCACTCTGGCCCTGCTGCTTCTCATCCCAGTTCTTTATTTTTTTCTTTCTTTCTTCCTTGGGAAGCTGGGCAAAAAATAGAAAAGGAACTTCAACACCATGCTGTTCCAAAAATGTAACGGCTTGACTCATACGATCTCCAAAGTGGCTCATCTCCATAGAGCTTTGTTGGCCCCGTGGAAGAGGAGCAGCATTTCGGTGTCTGGTTCCTGGAGGTGGAGGTGGGTTAATGCAGGAGTGCAATGGATACAGGGCTAAAAACAGCTCGCAACATCCTGCAAGAAGAACTTTGTCTGCACTTGAATTTACAATCCTGCTTGTCAATGGCTGCTAATTAACCTGTGATGAAAGACAATCATTCAAGCCAGCAAAGTTCTTTAAGAAAAAAAAAAAAAAAGGGGGACAATCTGCCAATAGGATGGGAGATGGGAGAGTGCGTGCTGCACAGCAGCTCACCACGCCATGGGCTGCTGCCCTGCGCCCACTCTTGGGCCTGGATGCCTCAGGGTTCGTGCTGCAGAAACACCTGCAGCAGAAAGGGGCCTGGGAACAGGAGTGTCCCCAGGGATGGGTGACCCCAAGGACGGGGTGTCCTCAAGACCAAGGCTGACCCCAAGGACGGGGTGTCCCCAGGGATGTGGGTGCTGCTCGCATCGCTCCCAGTTTGGCCACAGTCCCCCCAGAAGGAGGTTGGGATGGGAACGTGGCGCCGCGCCATGGAACACCCAACAGTGACTTTGGCTGGGACAGCAACAACACCCAGGCAAAAGGAATAAAAAAGGACAGGCAGAAGTTTTCATTAAGAAGGAAATGCTTTGAAAAGACGTCGGTTTCTGTGCAAACAGGGGTGAGGATGAGCTTCCATCCAGCTCTACACAGAGATGAGGGTGGTGGGACCGAGTCCCGGCCGTGCTGTGGGTGCTGGCAGGGAAGCAGCACAGCACTGTGGTGAGCAGCACTGTTGTGACACGAAGCCACGGCGATGCCAAAGGCACAGCAAAGCCACCGCCGGTGCCACGGGTCCCCACCGCGCGCTGCGGGCGGCTCACGCCGTCATCTGCGTGTCCTGAACCATTTCTCCTACTATTCAGACTAAAATTGCTCTGTGTTTAAGCTCGAGAACCATTTATCTCATTGAGCAAGGAGGATAATCCACCCACCGCTTCCTCGCTCCGTGCCGTGTATTTATAGGCAGGCGCTCCTCTCCCGGCGCCGGCTGGCTCCGTGCTCCCCGGAGCTCTCCGGCCCCCACCATCCCCGGTGCCACCCGGTGCCGCTCAGCCCTGGGTGCATCGGCTCTGCCAACGACCGGGAGCTCGTTGAGGAGAACGGGGCCGGGAGAGGAGGCTGCAGGGGAGCGGTGGCCGCTTGGGAATTGAGATGGGAAGGAGAAAATAACCCCCCGGCTACTCTGGGATAGGAAAACCTTTAAGAGGAGGAGCGGAGCGCGGCGGTGGGGCTTTGGGAAAAGGAGGGAAGGAGCACGCCGAGCGGGGCCGGGGCTCTGCGGGACACGGAGCGAGGAATGAGAAACACGCGGCAGCGAGCAGGAGCCCCCACGCCCCGGCGGAGGAAACTGAGGCACAAAGCAAGGAAGCGACTTCCTGCGGCCGCACAATGTGCGGGGCCACGACCAGCCCCGGGCGTCCCGGTTCTGCCTCTGCGCCGAGCACGGAACGGGGCCCTCCAGCACCGAGCGTCAGCAGCAGCTCTCGCTGCCCGGCAAGGCGCGGTGACACGGGGAGCACCCGGCAGCTGGGGTAGGACGGGGTCCCTTCCTGCCACCCCGCATCCCACGAGGAACCTGCGGCCGGTGCGGCGCCTCCTGGAGCCCGGCCTGCGGGGAAGGATGCTGCAGAAGAGCTGGCGGCCAGCCCAGCGCTCCGCACCGTGACTTTGCCGGAGACGTCGCTCGGCAGGACGCGTCTGGGAGGGCTGGGGGACAATTCCCACCGCACATCTGGATCCTCACCCCGCAGCTCTGCGGGCGAGCTGAGAAAAACCGCAGCTCTGCGCTCACGCGGAAGCGAAGGGACAGAAGCAGATCTCACCTGTGCCCGGCGCAGCCCCGCTGCAACCGTCCCACCTGGCGACGTCCCCGCGTCCCGCGCCGCCCTGGCGATGCTCACACCGCGGCTGGCTGCAGCCGAGGCCGAGCCGCAGGCTCTCCGTGCCCCGCTCCATCGGCAGCTCTGCCGCCTCCCGGCTCCGCTCTCGTGTGACCCCATTATGGGAACATCGCAGCGCCTCGCGGCTCCTCGGTGCCGTGGGGAGCAGCGCAGCAGAGCTGCATTATTAGCTGCCTTCCCTGGGGCACCGGGGCATTGCTGGAGTCCAGGGACATCACAAGGGCACCTCTGCCTAACGAGGCCGATGGCGGCGTGGGGATGCTCGGGGTGCGTGTGCTGGGCTCGGTGGTGTAGCAGGGTGAGAGCCACGGGGCAAAGCTAGAAGGTGACCAGAGCAGGGGAAAAAAAACAGGGCCCAGCTGATGTCCTCACTCCGGTCCCTCATTTTCTCTGTGCTGTCGTGCAGGACTCGCAGACTCTGTGCCACACAGCCGTGCCCTTCACCTGGACCAGGTGCCGGCCAAGGGCAGCAGCTGGGGAGAGCCAAGTGACACGGGAACACTGGCACAAGCAGTGCTACAGCAGCAAATGTGTGCAGGGAGATGGCACCTTGGGAGCTGCCCCACGTCCCACAAGCCAGGAGGAAGAAGGAACAACCCACAGCTAGATGATGGGTGGGCCGTGGTGCCTCGTCCCCTTGTTCTCCATGGTAGGACTCCTGACCCTGCACAGCAGCGGCCTGCAGCATTTTGGAAAGCACTGGGAAGCGCTGGCTTGCCACTGGCCTTCAGCCTCACACCACACTGCCCAGATCTCCACGAAGCCACAGTGGCTTCCTGCTGTGTGACACTTCCCTGAGCAATGTCACCCCGTTCCCAGGGATCCGGAGTTTCCCATTCCGGCTCCATGCCCAGCAGCAGCCCTGAAACCAGGATCAGCTCCGGATGAGCTGATGGAGCAGGAGAGTGCGGGATCCCGGCTCACGGGAGAGGCCTCTGTCCCAGCACAGCCTTCCCAGCAGCAGCATCCCCTGCATAAGGAGCCATCTCCTGCCCTGTCCCGTCCCACCATGCGTTCCTCCAGCCCCGGTGACTCCACGCTGCTCCTCTGAGGCTCTCGGGCTGCGTTCCCTGCCCTTGTCTCCAGCAGGACCTGCACTCCCTCAACCTCCGGCTCCTCCCGCTTTCTCCCAGCCCCACCGGCACCAGGGCTTTGTGATTCCTTCACTGTTGGTTTCACCGCCCTCCCAAAACTCTTCTACCCAGCGTCCCCATTCCTTTACACCCCAGGAGGGCAGTAGGGCTGTCACCTTGCTGCAGAAGCAGCTCTGGGGCTCCTGGTGCCCCACATGAGCCCCACCGAGCGGGTGCACCGTGCAGAGCCCAGAGGAGGGACCTCACCTGGGCTGCAGGGCTGGGACGAGTGCAGGGCTGCCGGCTCACGGCGTCAAGGCTGTGATTCCCCCGGAGCTCCCAGCCCTGCACAGCGGCACAATGGGACGGGGCAAGACGGGGACAGCTGTGGGACGGACGGGGACACCAGGCTCTCGGTGCCCCCATCCGCGTCCTCTCCCCACATCCAACCGCCCTGCACCGCCGCATCGCTCCGTATTCCCAATAACCCCGTTCTCCCTCGTGTCCCCGGCGTGCCAACGGGAGGAACCCATCGCCCCCCGGCTCCGGCCTCGCTCCTCCGACCGAACTCCGTTACCCACACCGTTCCGGAGCCCGGCCCCGAGTTCGGCCCCGCAGCCGCAGGGCAGCGCCGGGAGGGGATGCGGTGCAGGTGGCGGCGGCACCGGGCGGGGTCCGCCCTGCGGGGCGCGGGCTGCGGGACCCCGAGAGCGATGGCAGCAAAGCGGGTGGCTGTGCGGGGCTGTGTCCCCAAATCCCCCCCTCCCTCCATCTCCTTGTTGCCAGGGGTCGCGCGTGGCCCCTCACCCCCCGCGCTCGGGTGATTTGATGGCGACGACGATGATTTTTATCAGGATTCTTCCGAAATGGCGCTTTCCCCACCGCCACCCGCTCCCCACCGCCTCGCCGTGCAGACAAAAGGGCCGCTCCGCCGCCCGCACAAAGGCGAGCACCGCTCCTCCCTTCTCTTCCCCCCCCCACCCCCCCAGCCTTACCGGGGGCAGCACGGAGTTGGGCTCGGTGGCGGATGGCGGCCGTCAGCCCCCAGCGCGGGGCCGCTCCGCCGGGTTCATCCCGCCGCTCCCGGGAGGAACGGAACCGGAGAGAGGAGCGACGGCGGCGGCGGCGGCAGTTCACCCCCCCGTAGCCCCCCGGTAGGGCAGAGCCGCTCCGCCCATAGCACCGCCTTCGCCATCCACGCGGGGAGCGGGGCACGCGGGGGGGGATCGAACCCCGGCCCCGGCCCCCCCCCCCCCCCCCCGCGTGTCCCGCTCCCCTCCGGCGACGTCCCGTCCCCGTCACCGGTCCCACCCTTGGGGATGAGGGCCGGGGGGACCCGAGGATGAAAGGCACCGCGACCTTCCTCACGCCGCGCCCATCGCTGGGGATGGAGCGGGTCCAACATCCCCCCCCCCTTCGCACCCATCCGCAGTGGGGCTGTCCCCTCTGTCCCCTCCCTGTGCCACCACCCCCCAGCTGCAGTGTTTGAAGCTGCGCCTCTGATCTCTCCAGCTGTCCCTATTTATAGCTGTTTCTAGGTCAGGTGCAAGGAGCGGCTCTGGGGGGAACCTGGATGGGGCCGGCGGCCGGGTCCTCGGGACGCATCGGCTGCCCTGGGAACAGCGGGGGACAAAGTGGGGCCGGCGGCAGAGGACAGGGAGCACTGAGGGAGATGCCATTTGCAGCCCATTCGCATTTGGGTGAGCGCATGGCACATCCTGCAGTGTTCTGCTGGAAGGGTGTCAGCTCCCTGAGGCTCTGTGGGGCCCTATGGGGCTCTATTGGGTTCTGTGGGGCTCCATCCTTCCCATCAGACGCCACTTTGAAGCTGCAGAGAGCTCCAGCACGTGGCAGGCATGTGGGTCACGCACGGACCGAATAAGAACAGCAATAACAATAACACTGTTTGCATCGAGCTCGTGGTCTTCAAAGCACTTAAAGAATATTAATAACTAATGACGATCAGCAAAATGAAAGGAGATGGCTGAAACGTGTTTGTCACATTTGTTCTGGACCATCCGAGTGAGCCTGGGATTCCTGCTGCTGCTCGGGGGAACATCCTGCCCCTCGCCAGCATGCGCTCAGCCAGTGGGGAAATGACCTGGAGAAGCAAATCATGGCTCTCCAGGAATGGCTTCCCATGTTGCCACGAGCAGCACAAGGACGTGCAGGGCCCCGTTGGGGTTGAAGTTGTGTGTGCACCACAAAGTGGAGACCAGCCTGGGTCATGTGTCCCCGGCTTGTGGGTAGAGGTGCTGTGAATGACTCCCCTGTTCCTGGAGAGGTTTGCTTCCGAGCATCTCTCGCTGGCAAACCAGAAGCAGAAAGTCCAGAACGTTTCTAACAGCCTCTCTGAATTCAGGGCTTGTTTGTCCCCTTGCCCAGCGCTGGGAGTTGGGAGCGGCTCAGCCCAAAGCGAAGGTGCTACCAACGCTTCCGCAAGCTGTCACGCCTCGGTGCCATGAGCCGAAACTGCCCGGAGCCGGCGCGGGGATGCTGGGAAGGAACGGGAGGGAGGGAAGGGAGGGAGGGAAGGCAGGCAGCGCGCAGGAGCGGAGCACGCCGGGAGCCGCAGCGGGAGCACAGGGAGCAGCTGGGGATGCGCTGTGCCCCGGGGAGCTGCCGGCGGTGCCTCCCTGCTGCCTGAGAGATCCGCCCCGTCCCTGCCCCATTGAGCCCCTAACCCTGCTCTGCCTTGCTGGGAGCTGCCAGACCTCTGCTTCTCATCCTATTGTGGCCCGGATCCTCATCACAACATAAAGGGGTCAGCGCCCTCTCAACCCCGGGTGGCACCTGGCCAGGGGGGCTTCCAGGGTGGAGCACGGCCAGGGGAGCTGGTGATCCCCCCCCCCAGGGCTGCTGCTCCCAAGGTCCAGGAGGGGATACAGTACACGCTGCCATGGGCCATGAGCTGCAGTTCTGCTTTGTGGTGGGGGCACACTGAGCTGCTACCAGCGGCCATGGGGGTGCTTGCACCCCCTCCTGCAGCCCCTCCTGCAGCCCCCAGGCCCTATCTCTGCTCCTGGGGGATATAGGAGCAGCAGTGGGATGGACCCCAAACAGCTGAGCAGGGGCACAGCCTTCTGCTCGCTGCCCCCCCCCCCGCCCTCTTGGGGAGAGGAGGGGGGCATGAGGTCATCAGGGATGCTTGCAGGCAGCTATGAGGCAGCGCTGACTGAAGCGTAATGATGACGAGAGACAGATCGATTTGAAAAGGAACAGGGTGCTCTTCTTTTGAGCGGGCTTCTTCTGAAGCAAAGCAGAAGGGCTGTCATCCCAGGGCAGGTGGGATCTGGGGTGTAGCGGAGTCACGGCATCGCACTGCTCTCCCTGGTCTGAGATTGAGGCTGCAGACAGCAGCTGAGCCGCTGCCCCTGGAGCACGGCACGGCACGGCACGGAGCCTCCGCTCGCAGCCCGTTCCGCTGGCACCATCTAGCGAGGGAGAGGGGACCGGCACCCGTCGCGAGTCGGAGCGGGAGCCCACCCGGCCTCAGCAGCCCAGCACGCCGCTCTGCCCCGTCATTAAGCCCTGGCTGGGATGTCGGGATGTCACCTCCCTGTGCCGGTTACCCGCGGCCGCTCAGCCCTAGCGCAGATCAAGCTGCGGGACGGGAGCTGGGAGGTTCCGAGGGCTGCTCTGCGCCCCTCTCCATCCGGCAGCCCCATCCCCCATCACCGCTCCCAGCCCTGGTGACCTGTGTCGCTGCACCATCCCAGCACGTGGGCTCCATGACATCAGATCAAGAACAGGATTGAAACACTAAAATAAATCCTACACATTCCAGCGTACTGGTAGGAGGGACAGGAGGACAGGCTCCTCACAGCGTGCCCAGGATGCCGTGAGCCCACCGAGGACAAGGCACAGCCCTGCTGGTAGCCATGCTCCTGGCACGTGGGACGGTGGCACAGGACAGCAGCCGGCAGTGGCCCGGTGCCGGGGAGGAGCAGCTGGGCACGGCGTGTGCTGGTATTCACACCTCGCATCCTCACCGGCTGTCCGGCTAATTCAGGCACCGTGTGCTGCCTTGGCTGCCGCTCAGCAACGCGGATGGGAGATGAGGTTGTGGAGCCAGAAAGCAGCAGGGAGGGAAAGAGCAGAGTGCCAGCACTCGTGGCTCTGCCTGGGGACTGTCCTGCAGCTCTGAGAGCAGGGCCACAATCAGGTGAGCCGGTGCAGGAGGAACAGCACCAGGTGCTGTGGTTGTCCCAAGGCTGGGGACGGCCAAGTGGGAGCTGACACACTGAGTGCTTTCCTGGTGCACAGGGATGGGTCCAGGGGGGGCATGGCAGTGCCCAAACCCCGCTGTCCTCAGAGCTCCCTAGGCTGCCAAGCACACCTGCGTCCTGCTCCTCCTGAGCTGCTGCAACCTGTTGGGATGTGGCGGGAGGTGCTTCCCAACCCACAGCCCTGCTCCCACTCAGCACGGCACGGCACGTGGCACGGCATGGCACATCATGGCATAGCAAATGGCACGGCACATGGCACAGCACACGGCACAGCGCAGTGCCAAGGCACAGTCCCCTCCGTCCAGGAGACGCTGCATCTGCTCCAATGCAAACTTTGGGCTCAGCGCGAGGGTCTCCATCAGCCACCGTTCCCAACCCAGCCCCATGCCGCGTCCCCGCAGCACTGACCTGTGGAGGTGCAGGGGCTGCAGCTCCTCTTTCTGGAAGCAGACGAAGCAGAAGGAATCCATTGCTCAGCTCCGGTGGCCGTTGCACCTGGGCGAGGGGGACAGCGGGCCTGGCAGCACCGGAGCTGCGTTGGCATCTTCCTCGCCCTCAGCAGTGCCGCTGGTGGGGCTCACCCAGCCAGTGCCATGGTGCTGGGGAGCCTCACACCATCAGGCTGAGCTCTGGGGCTGTTTGCTCACCACAAGAGGAGGCAGCTCTGGGCCAGGCTATGACCTGCATCCCTCTCACACCGGTGCCCAATGCTGTCCCGGCACCCATCTTGCAGTTGGCACCGGTGTTCAGCTGGCACACGCAGGGATCTGGGATGGCATTGCTGTGGGTGAGGGCTCCGCTGGGGCAGGATGAGGCCCCGTCTCAGCCCCACCACGCTTCCAAAGCCAAAGGATGCAGCTGCCCCTTTCTGGCACCCACGTGGCAGCCAGGTGCCAGGCACGGCCCCGGTGCCCCCAGCTCCGTCACCACGGCAGTGGCAGCGCAGGGGCTCGCGGTGAGCAGGTGCTCAGTGTGCCCACGGAGGAAAGTTGTGGCACGAGGAGCCGTGGCTGCACAGGACCGGTCTCACAGCAGAGCCGCCGCTCGCTCTGGCAGATCAGCAGCGTGTGGGTATTAATAGCTCCAGAGCCATGCGGTGAGGCTGGGAATTAACTCCTCAGCTGCCGTTGCTGGTGCCATGGGGCCCACCGGCACTGCGGCGGAGTCCTGGCAAACTCAGCACAGCGGTGCTGGGAGCCAGCCCCTCACCCCAGCTGCTGTCCTGCCCCTGGGGCAGCTCCCTGTGAATGGCAGTGGGAGGACACAGAGAGTTTCTCCATCAGATTTGTCATCACTCCCCGGGAATTATTCAGCGCTTTGGTCTGGTTGCAGCACATTTATCCCAGCCACTCCCACACTAATGGCAAACATCGATGGATTTTTAACTTCTTGTGGCCGGAAAGCTCCCAGCCACGCTGCGCTGAGGGGAGCGTGGCTCTGAGCCCCGTCCTCGGTGCAAAGCTCTCAAGGACCGAACCCAGAGGGCAGCTGTCCCTAACTCACATCCATCACCTCCATCCGTGCCCCCAGGGCTGCAGGCACGGTGCCCACATATCAGCATCCCACAGGTGTCATCAGGAGCCCCTCTGTATCCCCAGGGCCCTGGCACCCACCCAGGCACTCACTCACTCACAGCAGCACGGGGAAAATGTTAAAATTTAATGCCTCGGCTAATGGGCCGAATGGAGAGGAGCAGGAACATGGAGAGAAGAGCTGCTCTCCCAGGGAAGGGAAGAGGCAATGGTGCCCAGCCATGGGAGCCCCTAATGGCTGCTGGAGGGTATTTGCACTCAGAACCTTTACCTGCTGTGTTTTTTAATAGCTTGCTCAATGAACAAATTGCTTATTGCCAAGCACACACAGGGCGTGGTTGGGCCACACAAAACTTTCCCTCACATTTCAATATTGCTTTATTGTACTTACAAAAGATGGCTTAACCCTTTCCATGAAGTCAGACCAGGTGGAAGCACTCATTTGTACATGGCGCTCAGAATGAGTTAAGGCTCAATTTGTGGCAGAAGCAATTGAATGAGATGAAAACAGGTACCTGGCTGGGTCTGAAGCGAGAACAAAGATAACCAAGGGATAAACCATGCAGCAAGGAACAATTTTCACTAATTCTTTCCCCTTGGCCTCCCAGTGTAGATATTGTTTTTTTTTCTCTATTTTTTTCCTCACCAAAGAATGTTCTGTGGCTTTTCCCAACTTGGATCGACGACAGCAAAATCTCATTAGCAAGAGATTAAGAAACAGAAGGAGCCCCACATTGACACACAGAGGCCACAGTGTTTTCTCCAGCCATGCAGCATAGGACCTTTCATCCCAGCACAGCCAGGGCACGAAGATGCTCTCATGGCCTTGGGGAGGTGCTTCCAAAACAGGGACGAAGGCCATGGAGCTCAGGGCGGACTGCCAGCCCCAAATCCTGTACCTGCTGCAGCCCCACGGACTGTGTAGGGAAACGGGATTACAAAAGCTGGGGATGCAGCACCGGAAAGCGCAGGATGTGCAGGTCAGCGTGCTGCCAGAACGGGGAAGAAAATGGGCAGTGGGAAAAGCACGCGCTGCTCAGCCCCGCTCTCCTTGCCAATCCCTGCAGTCAGTTACGCTGCCTGGCAGCTCAATTCTCTCCCTCTCCTGTTTTGTTTGATCCTCTAATGCAACTGCAAGCACCTTCAATACCTTTGTACGTACGCAGTCCCCTAAAGCCTATTAAGCTGCTGGTTTCAGCAATCTCTTGCAACGGGAAATGCCACAGGAGACGTTGGGAACCATAAGAGATGCGGTAGGAAGAAACGAAGGTAGGCCTCGGGCTGGCCAGCCGGGTCACCGTGTGGGGAGCGGGGCTCAGAGCCGGACCCCACCGCGTTGCCAAGCAACGCCCGCCCCGTTCACGCGCCGCTCGCCGGCACACCCAGCCCTCAGAAGGGGGCGTGGCCAACTCAGCCCCGCCCCTCCCCTTCCCGCTTCCTGCAGGGCGGAAAGAGCCGGGCGCGCACGCGCAGCAGCGCAGGGGCGGGGCGAGGCGCACCTCCTTGCGCGCACCTTCCCCCCCGCCCTGCGAGACACCGCGCCCTCCTTCAAGATGGCGGACAGAGGCTTGCTGAGGCTGAGTGCGCACGCGCCGGGCCCCGCGGCCTCGGCTGCGATTGGTCGGTGGGGCAGGGCGGCCGCTTCCGGCGGGCGGGGCGGGGAGGGCAGAGCCGCAGGATGCGCCCGGAGGAGCTGTGGCCGCTCCGCCCGTAGCAGCGCCGCTCCCGGCTCCTCCAGCGGCCCGCGCCGGTCTGCCATCCGGCGGCCCTTCCCAGCGCCCCGGGGCTCCCCGTGCTCGGCTGCCGGGGGCGGGCCTCGGGGCCTGGGGGGAGGCGGCTGCTGTGCGGACGGGGGGTGAGCGGCCATGAGGTGAGCGGAGCGCGGCGTCCAGCCCAGAGCCGCCCCGTGGGACGGACGGCCCGCAGCCATGGTGAGTGCGGGACGGACTGTGGGCAGGGCCGCACGGAGCCCCGAGCTCAGGGCGACTTGGGCCGGCCGTTCCCCGCAGGCCTGGGGCGGCGGGCCGCATCTCCGCCTTACGGAGCGCCGTGTCGGCCCGGGTGTGTGCGGCTGTGATTTGCACAATCCTTTCTTTATTTTTCCTCTCGATAAGTGGAAGAAGAAGCGTGTTAAGAGCCCTGCTCGAGCGCAGCCAGCCTGCAGTCTGTCTCCGGAGGTCTGCAGTTCCATTCCGGGCACTCACAGGGTCGTGTTAAGTAATGATGATATTATTTTTCACTGCTTCCATCTGAAGGAAGGCCCGGCGTTGCCAGGTGTGCTCTGCTGGCAGATGGCAGCTGTGTGCACAGACGGTGCAGTGATCAGGGGGCTGCAGCACCTCCGCTACAAGGACAGCCTGAGAGAGCTGGGCAGGGGGTTGGAGATTCGTGATCCTTGAGATCCCTTCCAACCCAGGCCATTCTGTGATCAGGGAATGGGGAGCTGCCTGTCTGGCCCACTGTGGCCTTGCCAAATGAATGCTGTTGGTGCCGGTCTGGTTTTCAGCCCCCATCTGTTCTAAGCTCCCTCAGATGCTGCAGGCCCAGGCTTTGCAGCCTTTTCCTTCTGGGAGTTGGGATCTTGCTCTGCAGCTGTGGATTTCTCATCCAGCATAGCAGGGAATGGCTCCTGCCTGACAACACGGCTCCTTCTGATGGTGGCTTTGGCCAAAGCTGGAGCCAAGGGTAGTGTTCTCAAGGCTGTTCTTCTCAGTGAATACCACCCTTCAGGAAGGTGAATAAATGCTGTGGGGTTTTGGTGATTTGTTGGACCTGTGGTGTTTAGCAAGCTGCTGCTGTGCATGTGAAAAGAGGTTAGCAAGTTCTGTGCTTCAGGGGAACAGCAGTAACCTCACAGACTCAAAGAGGCTTGATTTTTCCATTGCCTTCATACAAACATATTCTTTCAGTCTGCTGAGTTACACGTTGTTTTCTTTTACCTTGAGCATTCAGTTTTTGGTTCAACTACAAGCCAAGTAGTGGGTATGGCAGGTGAGAAGCAGTCATCAAGCCACACTGCAGAATTTACTGTTGTAACGCTTCATGTGAGTCCTATGGAAGATTTTCCTTCTGTTCCACGCTCCTTGGAGCCTGCAGATGGGCCTCTTCTGCTGCTAGTGCCCCCTCCTTCCTGGAGACAGTTGGACAAGTGTGAAGATGAGATTCTGTAAGGCACACTGGGAATGAATGCAGCATAATTAAACTGCGCTGTAAAAATCCAGAGTTGGGAAAGCAGATTCTATATCATGAACTGGGTTAAAGCTGCAGGCTGTAAGCAGGAGAAGCAGTGATGAGTTGGAGCTTGATTAACTGAGGAGGAGTGATGAGAGCAGCAGTCAGTGAGAGAAGCATCAAAGGCAGGAGGGGAAGCTGCAGTGACACGCACTGCGCTCGAAAACTGCGTGTGTGTTGGCAGCATGTGCCACTTCAGGGTGCTGCGTTCCACGAATCTTACACTACTGATAAGGAAATTCTAGAGCAGACCAAAAAGCATCAGTGTGTTTCCTACTCGAGCATTAGGTTCCTCCTGGCTGATTTAAAAAAAAAAAAAAAGAAAAAAAGCTTAAAAATTTTGTCTGTAGAACAAATGCACTGTTTTGCATCCAAAGAAGCTCTGCCTTTGTTTCACTGCTGATGCTTCACCTCTTGTTCTGCTTCTGCTACCAATGATGGATCGTCTCTGAGGCTGTCAGGGGTCAGTTGTGATCGTTAGGGCATAGCAGTCACCAGATAGTGCGTAATGAACCCTCATGGGAGGCTGCAAGTCGGGCAGTTACCTCCTAGAGAATGTTGTCTTTGTTTATCTGAGACCTGTATCATGCCATCCACCAGAAGAATAGCTCAGGCTCTCCTTCCCTGCCATATCGTTTTGCTTGATATCTGGCTTTAAAGATGCCGTGTGAAATCAGCTGTTCTGTCAGAGAACTGCAGAGACTCCTCAAGCCCTGTGTTAGCTGTGCAGCAGGCACTTGCCTTTCCTGTTGTCAATAGGCCTCAGAAACATGCAGCAAAG